AGTCACTTTCGGCTTTTCCCGTTTAGGGGTTGCCACAGCGAATCGTCACACTGACGACTCGCATGTTGACATTTGGCACGTGTTTTATGACGGATGCCCTTGCTGACGCAACCCTGATTCAAACCCGGGGCGCAGCGCTTTCGCCGCTGTGCCTTAACCACTTTCCTATCATGTTTGACAAACAAAAACATTTGTCATATTTCATAGCAATAAATAGTAAATGTTTGCTGTCAGACTGGAGATATTGTGGATTATGGTCTGTCTTATCCCAGAAGTCACAGGGGACCACCTGAAGCAAAGTTTCTGAAATGTTGTACTACTGTATGTGTTCACAGTATGACTGGCTGTGAAATATTGCAAGCTGTGACTTTTACATATAACCAGCATATAAACATTGTGCGGCTGCAGCCAAATCTAGACGACAGCTGCAGATGTTTACCCTGGGATGTCCTGTTTGATGCCTCTCACCAGTAGATGGCGCTACACCAGCATAGTAATTTAGTATCACAGTAATAAAGCAACCAGCACCACTATGTAGTTGTTTATGAAGAAATGCTTTTGTATCTGAACTCTGAAGAAAGTTCTTTCCTCCTGGAAATTTTGTTTCAAGACCCATCTTTAATGTCGTATATGCCATTTGGACTTGAACAAATTTATATCTATAATCAGCTCCATTTAAAACAAAACACTAACAAGATGTGCATTAACTGCCTAAATGTTTATAAAGATGAACTAAGGCAGTACCACAGGTTCAGATCCGCACAGCGTCGCCTGTTATTGTATGTTGCAACGTGTGAACGTTTTGTTGTGGTTCCAGCTCCTCCCTCAGAGTTTCCCACTGCTGCTGTCATTGGAGCTGTTGTTCTGCTGCTGATCTTAGCTGCCTGTATTACTGGATACTTCATCCGGAGGAGAGACAATGGTGAGGAACAATGATTTGCTCCACTGGTAAATTTAGAGTGAATACCAGAAGTACTACAAAATAATGTATCGTGTACCTGCATCTTTTATGTAGTACACCTGGTAAGTCACAGTGAAGCATGGTGTGCATTCTCTGTTGTATATTTTCATGAAATTCTGAAATGTTAATCATTTTGTAACATTAATATCTCTCCTGTATTTCAGGGTTGATCTAGCTAATAACAGTAAGTACTGTATTCCTTTGCACATTTAAAATTGACTTTCTTTGTTGCCATTTGTAGATGAACAGTTAATACCCTGTTCACTACAACAGGCAATATTTTATTTTTGATTGATTTACTATTTGTCTCAACAGGGGAGCAGCAGCGAACATTAGAAGAGGAGACTGAACTTCACTGAATGAGGAAACAAATAAAATCACCACATTTTCCCAGGCGGGATTTTCTCCTTCAGCAAAGTGCCTGGAGAGAACTGAAGCTGTTGACTGGGCTTGTGCTCTATGTCACTACAAATGACATAGAGCCCATTTTAACTGTCAGAGCTGGTGGCTGTCTCTGGTGGATCAGGAAACAGGTGACACCACTTCCAGCAAACTGTTTGGCCGTCAGTCCCAGTGAATGGGACTCTGACCCACCAGCCTGTTACTGGGGACAGCTCCAGGATCAGCATTCTGGACAGTGGACATGAGAGTCCACCATGGTCCACCAAGACATGGAGGGAGGGCATTTACAAAAGGACATAGAGGTACAAATGCTACAGTGAGTGTACAGGTGGGTTTAAATTATTTATTTGGGTGAGGAACTGTAGATGTGTATACAACTTCATTCACTCTGAAATAAACATGATACAACTTTGTTGACGCCTTTTACAGTGAAATTAATTTTGCATCCTGAGCAGCTCCATTCAAGGAGTGGACACACAATTAAACTGTACAGTTACAAACAAATGTGACACTTTCCCCAAACATACAATGCATCCTAAATGTATCAGACCATATGACACGGTACTGTATATCCTGAATTCAGAGCTCACTTAGCAACACACTGATTTTGGTTAAGCTACAAAACAGACAGATGAAAAAAATTCTTGCTTCTAAATCATATGTTACAAGTCAGATGTTGGTATTCTCCATTTACCACATGTGAGGAGTCAGAAGAGAAGCTAATAGCAAGTTAGAGCATGCTTAAAATTGTAAGATGCTCTGAAAGAGGGTTGGCCAATGATCCTCGAACAAATTCTGGGTTCATTATAATATAGTTTAGTTTTACGTTTCCCAAACAACCTGCTAACAAGTAGATAACACAGCATGATGCTCTGAATAAGTGAATTAAATGGGACTGGAGAAGCCGGGAATTGAACTGCTAACCCTTAGGTTAGAAGGGTTAGTCTCTAAGTCTTAAGCCACAGCTGTCCATAAAAAGAGATAAATAATCTGTGTAACTGTCCAAATGACAGGTTTCATTTGAGATGTGGGTTTATGTTTGTTATTAATAATGAGTTATTATTACTATTGAGGAACTGGTTGAAATGTCATGAATGGGTTGTTAAGTGTTAGCAGAGATGAGAAGAACAGAAATGTATTACTCTTGTTGGTAAAGAGGTTTATTTTGAAGGGCAGTATGTGCCAATGTGACTGGAGTTGAGTGAAGGGCGCCAATTGGCATTATGGGAAAGAGACAATATGGAGAGAGAAGAGACATACAGCCCAAAGTTATTTTCTGCACATGGGTTTAGAGGCGCAAACGGTGAGTTGTACATATGTTATGTTTGTGCTTGATGTTGTTCATGTGCCTGTATTGTATATATTTAAGATTCTTTATTGTTATTTTGTCTGTAGTTTTCACGGTGTCTGAGGAAACAGAGAGAGAGAGAAAAAATAAAACTTTCTGAAGACATCTGTACAAAGCGTGGCGATCCTTAAAACTAGAACTAAACCAGTGCAGCTACAATCTGGCTTCTGGCTGCTGGCTTCAAAGGATCTAAGCCTGCGAAGAAGGTGGAAACGTTGCTGTTATCTTCCTATAAAGAAATTCTATATGAAAAGTCCATCTATCATAACACCTATCATTTGTAGGGAGACACTTAATTTCTGCATTGTGTTGAAACTGGCAGTAGCTGGCACTCAAGATGAAGATCAAAACTATTTCCTCTTTTTTTTTAAATTCATAATATGGGTATTTTCTGTTATGCTGGTGCATCCTAATTTACATATAAAGCACATAAACTAAAACTTCCCGAGTTGGTCACAACACTTTCTGAAACTGCAAATGTCTTATTCATTTTGTTAAAGTTTGGCAGGAAACCATCTATTAGTCTTTTTTTAGGTAGCCAATGTGACACGTGTTGACTTTTCCCTCCCACATGAAGTAACTCGCTGAGTGTCTGGTGTTCAGGTTGCTGGGTTCAGTCTGTCAGAGATCGTAGAGCTGTTGTCAGGAGCTGTAAGTTCAGAAACACACTGTTAATCCACTGATCCTGCAGTGAACTCAGTAAACAGGTAATGCTGGAAACACAGATCATTTTTCTTTAAATCTACAGCATTAAGTGTGGCAAATGATTTGAAATAAAGTTTGGGCATTTGGCTAAAATGAAAAGAAAAGAAAAACATTTCAGTTACAAGAATATTTTCATCACCTTATCACCAGTGAGTCTGATCCCTTCTTCTATTCAAACTGAAATATAAAGCCATTCTACCCTTCAGTTTAGTTCTTACTTTATTTCTTATCACTTCTCTCCTACATCCTCAGTGTAGTCATTTTATCACGACTCTGAGCCTCACACACTCACTGCTGTTTTTTTCAGCCTGTGGAGCAGGAATCTGTGGCTTGTTGCAGCTTTGCGATGTGTGAAAAAGTTCAAAGTACTGAAACAATTTGTCGAGCTACAGTATCTAGCAGCCGTAAAGCAAGAAAACTGAATTTTCAGACCCTTTCCCGCTCACGTTTCTCTATAATCATGAACAGCTTTCTTTATCATCACAGACAAAATCCTTATTAATCACTGCATTTAACACTTATGTATTCTGCATATGATTTCTTTGATTATGATTTGCTATGATTTGTGTGTTTTACATAGGATTTACTCCAAGTGATACTTTTTGAAGACCTGTGTCATACATTACAGGAAAGGCATGTGTAGCTTTAGGCTCACTCAAATATAATGAGAGGAAATGTGATTGTTGATGTTTTACTCATTATTTATTTGCTCATTATTTTTATGCATACTGATTGATTTGTATCAATGTTTCATTATCAATTGCTAATTTATTTGATTGCTAGTATCATATCATAAAAGTTTGTTTAAAGTGTTTGACTTGCTATGAGTACTTGAGTTTTTTAGTCTCACATACTGTATCTCAGTGGTCTAACCACATTCTGAAACAGCTGCATATGTGGTTTATGTTTACTGACTTCCGGTTACAGACAGCTCTCAATCAAGACAAAGACTTGCTGAGACTAGACTGTGTGTCCGCATGTATATATCCTATAGGAACTCAATTGTATTTTGTTATCTTCTAAATGTTTGCCTGTGCATAAGTAAAATGACAAACTGTGTTGTTCTCTGGTGAAATGTTGAAATGTGTACTCTTGATAAGTGGAGTTGAGACTGTCTGCCTGCCTGAGCCTCACCCAGAAGAGCAGACCTTTTTGCTTTACATTGGTATTTTGTTTAATTCTCTTATGTCCCATTTAATCAGTCTTTTGTAATTCTTTAAGCACTTTTCCTTTTTGCTTTCTTCAGATACAAGCCCAGAGGGATAGAGGGTCCCTACAGGAAACACAGAGGTAAACAGAGGTAAATGCCTCCTCCACTTTATGGCAGCGCAGGTTTCAGGCGTACAGTAATAGCCTCCTTTTCTTGGCAGGGATCTTGAAATTAATTACTTCTCTAAAAGGTATAGAGGTTCCCGTTAAATTAAGTTGGCCTATAGGGGTATATTATAAAGTGATCTATTAGTGAGCTGCTTGATCTCAGTGTAGTGAAATCTAGTCACTTACAAATAGATGTAATTGCATTAAGTCACTAAAAGCAAAATAATAGTGCCTCTAGAAGACCACAATCGCTCAGCAGATGCTTTCTGGAAGTTGCTCAAGACCTGGTACCTCTGGCATGTAGTGAGTACATTAGGAGGGAGTTAACAGAACCAAGAGCCACAGTAAAGAGCAGGCCAATTCCCAGTGTATCTCACTTGCATTAACTACAAATGCAAATCATCTTTTCATTTTACTCTCTCACCTCATTTATTTCTGTAAACTACTAATCCAACAGCAGCAGCGATGATGACAAGCATAACAATAAGAAACACTGTTATGGTGATGGTGGCCATGCTAATAAGCATCTCTGGTGATGACAAAAATAAAGCAGGTTAGAGCAGAGGTACATCCATCCATGACTCAATTCATTCAATCTGTCCCAATATGTCTAGAAAATACTTTAAAGATTGTCATGACTTCAGAAATAAAAGGATCTGCTGATAATCTCATTGACAGGATCTGACCACTGATCCTGGGATGAGAAATATGCATTAGTTTAGTTGAATTATTTGTCTTATAATTATTAATTTTGAAGATGAATTTCCATCTGAATTGAAGGACAAAAACTAAAACTGCACCTCCACCACCTCTGATCCCAGTCTTATGTAACCCAGTGCTGAAACACCAGTCAAACCTGGAATAACTATACAGTTATTAACTTTGCAGAGTAATTAAAGGACTAATAAATATAGGTTAAAAATTGGTTTATTAAGGGATTATTAAATGGTGTTGGGTGGTGGTGAGGAAACCAGTGCAACTGCAAAAGTGGTTTGTGACGGTGCGAGCAGCCAACCAGCTGAGTTGGTGGGCTCTCACATTAACCAATAAGGTTAATTGTCCCTCCTTGGAGACCGAACATCCTGTTCGCGCTCTTGACATTGTATCAGATGCTTAAGAGCCGCATTTGGTTGCAACACACTGAACTTAAGAACCGTGTGAAACGGAGGTTTTGAGCTGAGGCAAAGCTGTGCGCCAACGGAGAACTGGGAACCCACACCGTTGCCTTTGCCTTGCATTGGTGAGATATATATGCAGGAATGTACTGCACTATCGTAGATGCAATTACTGTTAGCCGTGAGCTCATTCGCGCTAGCATGCACCATTGCAAAGCATGTAAATAAATGCTAATCGCTGCTAGCTGCGAATGCTAACTCACGCTAGCTATCCATCAATTCCCTTTGAACATGCCAGTTACACAGGCTAAAGCCATTTCGTATGGGACAATTAGATTATAACTTGAATGGTATTTGAAGAATTGTTACAGAACAGTGTTCTATGATTGTTTTAAGCTGTTATATTAGCACACGTTTAATTGTTGATGTTTTTTTTAGTGCTGATAGGTTTATAATTGATGTTTCACTTGCAATGGGAATACAAAAGTGCACTTTGCTTGGAACTTGCTGGAATTTCACCAGACTTTTCTAGCACGTGGTAAAATTTGGAAAGAAATTCGAAGCTGCTCTACAACAGCAAGAACAGACCTCTCTCCAGTACTGGATGGCGAGCCCTGCCCAAGGAATCGAACAAAGTGGTAACTAGTGACCGAACTGGTCACAGGACATTGAACAAGACATTGAACAAAGACACTGAACTGAAAAAGACATTCAACAAGACATTGAACAAAGACACTGAACTGAAAAAGACATTGAACAAAGACATTGAACTGACCTGGGACTTGAATAGACTTTATATACACTGAAAAAGGGACTGAACTGGACTTCTCTATTTTGTTTGTATGCGCGCTCACTTTTGGTTAATGTTATTTTCCTAAATGCATGTAACTTTACACCCATTTACAACATCCGCCATAAATTCAACCGTTTTACTACAAGTTGTGTTGATTGTCTCACTGTGGTTGTTCACCTCTCGGCTCCTACGAGTCTAAAATCTTCTGATCTGGTCCAAGCCTTTCCGTTGTACGGGTCTTCCTGGCATAGCTAATTCACAGTGCTTAGTCACTGGGTATAGGAGGATAATAGAGAATACGTGCACACCAACAAAGGGCTACACTTACCCCAGTTGGTCCTGATCTCTGGTTTCTCCAGTGTTTTGACGACGTCCTCCTTCACTCCAGAGAGCTGAAACACACAGTCGTACCTGCTCCAGTCTTCAGGATTCACTGATGAAATGTCCAGATCAACAGTGGGACAGTGGAGGTAGAGTGAGCAAGAGAGGGTGGAGGGATAGCAAAAGATGAGAAAAGACTAACAGGAAAGGAAACAAGGGAAAAGAAATATTAAGCAATTCAGTACAGAGAAGAGAAAATATGTGTTAGTTGAATATTTGTAGCAAAGCCTGTCACAGGGCTACTGCACCACGATGCCACCTCTCCATGTTTGTTAGGATTTCACTTCGAACCAAAGTGAAGGACTGACTCACAAAACAACTGCCATTGTCATTCTCTTTTCTTCCAAAAGGCCAATTCCATGCTTTGTACATGTGTAAATAAACTCAAGACATAGTAATATGTCAATTCAACAATGCTACACTAGCACCACAGAAAAAGAAGAATGATTTCCCTTTTGTTATGGTACAAACAATACATAGAGCAGTCAAAGTCAAATAGCAATCTTTCTTTTCTAACTCTGAAATTATGTAAATGTACTCATACTGATTGTCCACTGGCTGTCGCCAACTGACTTAAAGTAATGTCAGAGGACCCAAAATATCAGTCTCTGCTGACTGATTAAAGTTAAATCAAACCTGGTAGTTTAGTCTGAGGAGGTGACACCAACATTATTGTGTCCATGAAACTACATCAGGTCATGTGATTGTACCTTTTCTCAGTAGTGAGCTCTTCCCATACTCCACATACTTCTTCAGCTGCTCAGGACAAATCTCTGTGAGGAACATCTTATTGCTTTCCATGTCAGCTTTGTTATTCTCCCATCTCTGTTTGGTGATGACAGCCTGAGGTGTGGAAGCAATCCATGTCTGCGTCTTCAGGTCAAATGGTATGAAGTCTTCTCCATCATAACCAATACTTTAAAAAACCTATAACCTCTCCAGTCTCATCATCCCATTCACAGCCACTCATCCTCTGTAACGTGTGGACACCTGACAGCAACAGACAGACAACAGAGACTGCAGTTAACAATGATGTTAACAAACCTATTTAAACCATAATGTGACACATGTTTGTTTTCCTCTGTATGCTGCAAAACAGTTTGGGTCAACTGTGTTGTGTGTAAAGTGCTTTGCAAATAAAATGAACTGAAAAAAAACTTGAAATGAGTGATGCAGAAGATTTTCAGTAAAAAGAAAAATAATAATAGAATCCATACTTTACCTTTATTGTGGCTGAAGTGCTCCATCAAAATATTTAAGAGGCTAGACTGAAACACAGAACAATCTTGAGTGAAGTAATCAAAGTGCTCAGGATCATCATGAAATGTTTCGTTCATCCAGCCCTGTCTAACTTCCAGTATCTTTTTATTGCTGTCGCAGTAACAAATCTGAACGTCATCAACCACTGCAACACCCACAACCTCAGGGAGGTTTGGAATTCCAGAAGATACAGTGAAATAAAACATCAGGGAGTGTTTCACTGTGGGACAGAAACGAATTTTCAAGTCAATACATACACTCACCAGCCACTTTATTAGGTACACCTCTACAACTTTATGCACTTCAATGCAACACTTCCAACATTCCTTAACATCTGTGATTATGAAGCTCAAAATGTTTCAGTTTTTGGTGAAATTGCCATAAACGTATAAATTCAATTATACTAAGATCATAGTTAAAGTTGTTTTTTTTTTACTGGACTACAATATTCAGAGGTCTTTCTGTTATTCTGACCCTCTCATGTAGCTGGGGAGGACAAAAATATAGAGACCAGTTCAACAATCATGATCTCAGTAATAAACATATAATTGAATTTATACATTTATGACAGTTTCACCAAAAAATAAAATGAAACATGTTGAGCCTCATAAAGTCAGATGTTAAGGCGGAAGTGTTGCATTCAATTGCATACAACTGGACAGGTGTACCTAATAAAGTGACAGATCACTGTATATAAACACATCATTAAAACACTCAAATGTAAATATGTTCAGTAAGCTATGTTATTACACAGGCCTAGTGCATATTAACATTTAGTTAAAACTTGTTGAAAGAAAGTGAAATTAAGTGATAGAAGTGAAATTCAGCCGAGTGGAAAGTGGAGGAAAGAGTTTTAAGCAAAGATTTAAACGAGATCTTTGTGAGGAAACGTGACAGATGAGAAGCAACAAAAACAATGTTTTCATTTTCTTCTGCTATCGGCGTGCAGATAACGGACCGAGCAGCTGTTTGAGTAAAGCGTGTTTTGTCTGGAAGGTGAGTGTGAAACCTCCACCCCCGGACTGTCATCATATCAAGGTCACAGGTCGAAAATACAGTTAAAACATGGTGATAAAATACTAGTGATAGTAAAAGCAGTAAACCGAGTAAGCCTGCACTGACTACGGTTAATAAAACTAGAGTTGACTATTGAGTCGTTACAGTCACGTGATAACCCGAAATATTGATTATGTAAATTTGTTAAAAACATTACTTGACCTAGATACGAAGTTTACTTCCTGAACTGTCCTGAACACGATGGAGCTTGTTTTTCTACTTTTCTTCCTCACCTGTCACACATTCAGGTAATACGGTACCGATATTAAAAACTTCTTTTAAGTTTTGGGTTGGAAAAACTATTTGTTTTGATCGTAGTAGCGGTCAGCGTTAGATTCCAAACTCGGGAGTGGGCTGTGGGTAGTGCGCTCTGTTTTCCAAGGCGTTAACCTGCACATTACTTTGACTTTAACCAGTCGGGTGCTAATTTACTTAACCCGATCCCATCCCAGTCTAACCAGTTACCGCTACCTAACAGATTCAGTCCGGGGTTGTTCCAACAAGTGATCGTGACTGAGATCCACAATATAAGGGTCATTAGAGGCAGAAAACTCCTTTCAGTGTGGCAAGAAGAAATGTGCGTGTTATTTGCTGCTGGAGGTGCCAGTATTATCAGTAAAATAGTTTTTCCTTATACCAGAAACTGATTACAAATGTATTACTAAAGGGGGTGTCTGCCCCAGAGTAGTTTTATTTTACTCTTGTAGTTGATATTTTATAGGACATAAACCATCCAGTACATTTTACCTGTGTAAGTATCTCAAAGTCCCAGTATGCCCAGTAAAATGTGAGTTTTTTCCTTGGCAAAATTTTACAGATTACAGCTAATACTATATTACTGAAAGGGGGTTTCTGCCTCACATTAACTTTGTCACTCTTGGAGGCTCTGTTTGGTAAATGGTAAAGAGAGAGGCTGTGTGGTGTCACGTTTAGTTTCACTTTTATCTCAGTTTGACAAGATACAGAACTATATGTTTTAACTGAACCATGATGTGTGTATATTTATATTGAACATATAAATCTTTGTCCCACAGTAAAACACTCCCTGAAGTATTTCACCACTGCATCTTCTGGAATCCCAGATGTCCCGGAGTTTGTGGGTGTTGCAATGGTTGATGATGTCATGATAGGTTACTGTGACAGCAACACAATAGAACCAAAACAGGACTGGGTGACAAAATTATTCCACAATGATCCTCAGCAGTTGAAGTGGTACAGTCAAGAATGTTCAGAAGGCTAACAACTAGAAAGAACCAGCAGGGGAGTGAAGGTAAAGCCGAGTATAAATAGGGAGTGACAAAGGAGGCGCAGCTGAAGAGTGTCAGAAAATCAGGACAGGTGTGTTAATCAAGAGAGTCAGTGAGAAGGAGCAGACTAGAGCGAGAAAGAGAGAAGAAAGGAAGGTGCAGCCGGGCAAACCTGACAATTACTGAAGGGGGTTTCTGCCTCACATTAACTTTGTTGCTCTGGGAGGCTTTGTTTGGTAAATGGTAAGGAGAAAGAGGTTTAACAAGATACAGAACAGTATGTTTTAACTGAACCATGATGTCCAGGATGTGTGTATATTTATATTGAACATATAAATCTTTATCCCACAGTAAAACACTCCCTGAAGTATTTCCTCACCGCATCTTCTGAAATCCCAGACGTCCCGGGGTTTGTGAGTGTTGCAGTGGTTGATGATGTCCTGGCAGGTTACTGTGACAGCAACACAATAGAACCAAAACAGGACTGGATGACAAAGTTGTTCCGCGATGATCTTCTGCACTTGAGGTGGTACAGTCACATGAACATCTTCAAAGCTGAGATCCAAATACTGAAGCAGCGCGTCAACCAAAGTGGAGGTACAGTATGCATGTTACTGTGTCATATTTCACTTGATACTGTTAAACTGTTCTGCATCTTAGTTGTAAACTGACCCTCAGTAGCAGCTCAAGATAATAATCAGCTCCCCCTTAAAGGAAATCTCCAGCCAGTGTCAACACTGAAATGATTCCAAGGTCATTGTATTATTACACTGTTTCCAGCAGCCTTTCTTGGAAAAAGAACCAAGACGGGATTTTGTTTATTCAGCAGAGTGAAAAAGGCAGAAGCAAATCATTTTGAATAGGCAAGATACACAAACCTCTTCAGGATAAGGGGCATAGATAATGGATGGATGGAAGATATAGGACAACAAAAGGCAGGGAGGGGCTGGCAAATGAGGAGAGATTTAGGAAACCAGATTATAGTTACTCAGGACATAGCAGCACCAGTCTAAGACCAAATCTCATGTGAAACACAGCAGATGGTGTATTTTGTGGAAATGACAGTTCCCTGGGGGGACGCTATAGAAACAAAAAAAATCTAACTGGCAGGCAGGCAGGTTTGTCACACCATGTACGAGCCTCTTGCTAGTTTCAAACTGAACAGAATTGATCCTTATTAATTCT